AAAATAACGTCGGATATATAAATAAGAGCATGGAACTCGCTTTAGCCTAAATATTCATGTCAACTAAGGCCTAACAGGTATCATATATGGCCATAATTTGTCGAAAGAGGATCTGACGGGAAAAACCTGAATAAATTTTAAATTCGCTTCCAGACTTGCTTGTATTTCAGATGATTTACCAATTCGGTTTTGCTGTTGGCTATTCGTTCCAGAACGTGAGGACAACAGCTTTGGCAAGATATTCATGTACTTTTAGTCATCAGCTAAGCAGGTAAGCTCCACTAGTCGGATTTCAATTCGCAATGATGCCAGAGGTACCTCTGATTCTTCCACGTGGTATCATTTATTAATAATATTGTTACTCGACATAGTTTACTACCTAGGATAGAAGTCAAGATAATGATTTTTAACATTATCCGTTGTTTTTGTCAAAGTGAACTTCCTCTTAATTTCTTCATTGACTGAAGATTCTTGTTGCTGCCACTGCTTGCCAGGCATCTTAAACAGGGCATCCGTTTTTCTTATACTTTCGCCCAGTTGACTTTGACGGTTCTGTGAAACTCGCTAAGAGCTTTTATCATTGACCACATACACAGCCGCCTATTTTAGCATTATATGACAAATACTATAGATGATAGTGAGTTCTAGTCTGTCGTGCCTCGATCGAACTGGTATTAATTACAACTTTGTTCAATATTTGCTTATGTATTATGATTTTGTGTTACAAGCTCCAAATCGCTAGTGCTACTGTTCGTTAAGTGGCTTAGCGACGCCCAACAACCTGTAAGCTCACAAGTATGCTAGTACTCGAAGCAATTCCCTTCATAGAATCCTACCTACACTACAAACAACCCTCAGAGTAAGTACTGTCTGTCTGTCCTCTCCTCTCCTCCCTCCTCTCTACGTTTGTCTCGCTTTCAACAACCCTAACAACCATTTGCTTAATCAACTCGTTTCTCAAGTTTCTGTCATATGTTGTTCTACTGAACTGAGCTTAACAGTATCTTTTATTTATACTATTATTGAGAAAAATCGATTCCGTTTTTTGTCACTTAAATGCTAAATTTACTCATTTGTGTACTGTAATTAACGTTGTTAACAGATCGGGCTGTCGACTGTTCCTATTGCGTTGAACTAACGAACTTCCGTTTATTCTGCCGGAAATCCAGTCGATTAGCAGAAATCTTGGCAAGAAAGCAAACGCAACAACATCTACAAAGCCTCCTAGACGCTGACTTACTTGTGGTCACGCGTTCGATGGTCTGTCCACAATGGAAGTGAGCCATTCAGGGGTCATCAAATCATGTATGGGTTGGCTCCAGAGATGGGAACGTACGTGCGAAGACAGACTCTACTAGCGCAGCAGCTCTCCGACGCCCGGATCATCGACCACGGGTTCGGGTGTATTCGTTCTCCCAAAAGTTTAAGCCAACTGTAATTTAGCAAAAATCGATGCCGCCTGTCGATCGTCGCCACATTCAAACCTTGTTGGTATTATTATTACTCGATAAATGTTCGTCACTTGAACAATCGATCGACAGATTTCTGAGGTGCTTGTCGCCACACCTCAGTTTGCAGGGCACTTGACGCCAGACGTTTCGCGAAAGTACATTATTCAACTAACGTTAGTGAACTTGACCCCTCCTCTCGATAGACTCATGTGTATTCACAGGAAGCATGCACGGTCGTAAAAAGAAAAAGAGGAAACGAAGAATACCCGTACTGATTGGTTTTCAATACATGTTAAGTGTGGCGAAGTTTGCACTCGTCGTCCTACCGACTATGCACTTCTTCAAAGCAATTTTCGAGACCTGTTACCTGTATCGACTTGACCGATATGACCAACAAACATTTCACTTCTCACAGATCACTTATACAGTTTTATGTCATGGGGTCTCGAGAGTGAGCTGAAGTTCGAAAGAGTTTAAGACATTACCGAAAAATCGTAAGCAAACAAAATTATCATCCGAATTGGGAGACATTAGGCTACGATAACCAATTTCTTTCATATTCTGGATCTGTTATGAACGAAATAATGACTTCCTAACTTAAATCTCTCGGCATCTGACTCTAGCAGGAAAATTTGATTTTTCATGACAAGAGTTATTACGATTCAATTCATTAGCTGATTTTGTTTGCTCAAATCTCTGCTTGATATTTCTGTAACGCCGGCTCCGAAATGCCTCTCAGTCGATAAAGCGGTAGTTCAGAAGAAAGCTCGCATTCTATTAAAGTGATGTGAGGTTCACAGACAATGAGCCGCCACCTAGCTGCATGGAATATGAAATGAAGCGGGGGACGCTCACTGATCAATGGACTGTATGTTAGACAATGGCGCTAGTCCCACGACAC